CACCAGGAAATGCCAAGAGAGTCAGTGATGTGACGTCGGAAATGACAAGCTCGTTGACTGTAGCAGCAGGTCCAGGATTTTGTCCCTTTGATGCGCGTCATATGTACACTAAAAAACAAACTGCTGATTACAGCGCATTCAGGGTTGTGTCCTACAACATTCTCGCCGACAATTATGCCAAGGACGAGTTTGCTCAAAAAGTTCTGTTTCCTTATTGTCCACCATATGCCATGGACATCAGCTATCGTCAACAGCTGTTACTTAAGGAAATTCCTGGCTATAATGCTGACCTAATATGCCTTCAAGAGTGTGGGTTTAAATTATTTGAGAAAAATTTGCAACCAGCTCTTGAGACTATGGGTTTTGAAGGTCTTATGAGATGTAAAGGTGAAGAAGTACCTGAAGGAGAGGCCACCTTTTTCCGAAAGAGCAAGTTTTCATTGATCACCCGGCATGATATCGTTTTAAAAGAAGCTCTCCTTAATGATCCTGCTCAAGCAGGGGTTTTACATCACGTGTCACCAATACCAATTTTACTGGAAACTTTGACAAAAAGGAATACAGTTGTACAATTGTCAATTCTCAAAGTCCTTGGTTTTGAGAAGCGGTATCTCTGTGTAGTTAACACACACCTCTACTACAAACCTACTTATCCTCATATAAGATTGCTTCAGGCCACCATTATTTTGAATCACATTCAAAAAGTTTTATCACAGTTTTGCTCAGGAGACACTGATAAAGGTGTGAATGTTCAAGCTGGTGCAGACCATATATCTCCCCAGATACCTAATGATGGAATGCAAGCTCACCCTCAGGTAGCTATCTTATTCTGCGGTGATTTCAACAGTGGCCCAAGAACTGGCCTGGTTGAACTCCTCACAACAGGCCGTGTTGACTCCACTCATCGTGACTGGACATTATGTGAAGACAAGGAGGAACACTGCACAACTCTGTCCATCAGCCATGATCTGGATCTTTTCTCTGCCTGTGGTTTTCCAGCATTCACAAACTACACTGGAGGTTTCAAAGGGACTCTAGACTACATTTTTGCAGATAAAACGTATCTAGAAGTCGAATCTGTTCTTCCTCTACCTAGTGAAGATGACCTCTCTTCACATCTGGCTTTGCCATCCGTTGTCATGCCGTCAGATCATTTAGCTTTAGTCTGTGATGTTAAGTGGAAATTGTGAATAGAGCCCATCAATGTTTTAATTTACATTGCATACAGATTTTTTATTACCCTGGTCAGAATTGGTCAACTCCAGTGTAAAGTAAGCAGAAAAATTAATAATTTACTCTAGTCTGCTCGCCTGCCAGGACATTTTAAAATAACAGTAAGAGCTGATTACTTACATTTGTACCCTCAGTAATAGTTGTAAGTGCATTAAGATTTTTAACGGGTCAATAAGATCTTTTCTGAAATTATTTGTTATTATTATTGACAATGTAAATTTGGCACCTTATGCATCAGAAAGAAAAGTAAGTAGTGTGTTGAATATAATTTCTGAGATCCAGGCTAAATTCCAACCCTGGTTGTGCTGTAATGGTCCGTCGTTGCATCCAGTGGAAGTGCTACTGCTCATAATTGCTTCATGCTACCAAGACCAAAGTTAACCAATTGCATTGATGACGAGCAAAGATGGCAACAAACCTAACCATTTCACCCTGACTGTCTGAGTCCTAAACACTCATTTATGATTTGGGATACCAGCCTGTAGAGATATAACCACTCTATCAACTATAGCCACTTTATTTACATTCTGCATTGTGATTAGAACTTTGGTGTTGTTGCATTAAAGTAACCCAGCAAAACTGAATATATTTGTAAGGTAATGATATCTGTAGATATGTAGCCAAAATGCCAACAACCCATCTAAACTTAATGAAGTAAAAATTGCCACAGTAGTTGTAAAGATGAATGTCTTCTCAAGATAGAAAACCTGCAACAAATTAGTGATCATTGTCATCTCTCTGTACTTTATTTTCTTAATGTCATGGGAAAGTATGGAATAAAAGGATGACAAACGTTTTTTCAAGCTGTCGTTTTATTGCAGTCTTTTATCCTTTCACTCCGCTTACTGTGTCCACCTTCTACAAGAGGTAATCTTTTTAAAATAGTGTTTGAGAATGTTGTAAATGTACTTCTGTTGCAATTAAAAGATGTGTTTGCATCACTTCACTTTGTCATTTTTTTTCCAGTCTCAAGTTCAAAATGTTAATTCTTCTTACTGATTGCCATACATTTCTTTTAATATTAGTTCTGAGTATTCAGTGGTGGAACAAAGCAGTATCACTAAGCTGATGATTTTCTTTATTCTCATCACCAGTCTGCTTGATATTGTATTGGTATTGTAATAAGAAATTAGATTTTGGTAACTACTGGGATTTAAAGGGTTAATGGAGAAGGTCACTCCAAAAAACACATATATTTTTCCAATGCTAATAAAAACCTTGCACAAAGTTTAGCCACTCACCGAGTTTCAGCCTCTAAAGCACAGGGTTTCCTTATGAAATTCACCTCCAAAGAAGACCAAAATTCGGCAAATCGTCGCCACCATTTTGAACAGTACTCAGCAGCCAGGCCACGTTTTCGTGATGTCATTCAGTCCGAGAAATTTTGTCCAAATGACCTCCAAAGAGCTTTTTAACTACCACTCTGGGTTATAGCTGCTCTTGAGCCATATTATTTTGAGCCAAACATGCTCCAAACTCCGAAATGATAGCATTGAAGATAGTAAAGTGAATAATTGCTTGGAAAAAATAGATTTTGGTGACCTTGTAAAGGATGCCAAGTCATTTGCAGGTTTTTCTCCTTCCTACCAATTTTGAGTTGGATGGAATGACGTCACATAAACACGGCCTGGCTGCCAAGACAATTTCTAAATGGCGGCCTCCGAAGTCTATCTTTCAAGACGAATTTCTTCAGGATAGGGGACACTTCAGAGACTAACTTCGGTGAGTGGAAAAGCTGAATGTTAACTTGCTTTAGGCAAAGACAAAAAAGTAAGCCTTTTGGAGTGACCTCCTTTAAGCTGCTCAATACCTAGGCAAGCAATGCGTGCTGAAAGCTATATTATCTACCCCTTGGTTTTTAATCCCTACCCTGGGAACAAGATGCTTATGACACCTGGTAATGCAAGAAATGCAAAACGCACATCAAAATGAAAACCGAATTAACAATGGTATCAGAGTTATTTATGTTTCTGGTTAAATATCTGTCAACTAAATGAGCCTCCAGTCTGGGAAATTCAAATAAAGATATGAGCTTTCCTCAGTTTTTGTGAAAAGTTGAACAAAGCCAATTATTATAATACATTTATGTAACACTATTCAAAAAATGTCTGCATTCATGGAGACCATTTCTACACTATGGTGAGAAATTTATGTACTGTGGGAACTTGGTTGGCCGTCTAATGATAATAAGTTTCATAGAAATCTCCCGGGTGGAGGACTCCATATAAAAGGGACGGCGCGCTTGTCGTATTTTTTAGAGGTTAAAAAGTGGCCTTGGTACCTCTTAAGGTGTCCAGTCTCAAAAGTCTACAGCAGGAGCCTTTACAGTACCTTTTTAGGTAATGAGCCGGAAAAATATGACAGGAGAGAATGTATTGTTTAGAATTGTTACCCCTTAAGGGTTAAATAATTTCAAGCCACGCCCACGAAACAGGATCTTGGTACCTCTCATTTCCAAATTTCCTATGAGTACCCCCGTGCTTTTTATATGGGAGTCCCCCTCCCCCCTCCTCCTCCCTCTGCCCCTAGCTCCAGGACAAATCCTTTGGCAGCAAGTACATAGTCCTGTTGTCAAATTATGTGTATTTTCTGTTGCTAATCTGCTGTTCCTGTGGTCATATTATATAGGCAAAGATGAAGCTTTTTCAAAGACGTTTCTACAATAAGCTATTCCTTTAATCTATTGAAATGAGCCTTAAAAAAATAAGTATTTAAATAACCTGTGTGATTTTTCGGTAGAGCCCAGCTTGTTGTTGTTTTTACCGGATGAGCACGTGGTTAGAGGCACGTGATCAGAACGTGTGTTATTGATTGGACAAACAATTGGGGGTTGGTCTTGTGAAAGGTAATGCAAGCAAATTTGATAAGGGTTGTTTTCGTTTGTAGCTTCTGTACTTGATAGAGACGTTTTTCTTTTGTGAAAAGCTTTGCTACGGATGCAGTTTGAATCTTTATTTCATTGTAGTCATTTGCTTTGATCTCCACCTTTGCTGATTGTTTATTCATTATTCGCGACTGCGTGTTTATTATTATAATTTTGCACGTTGATCTCTCAAGATTGGCGCGAGATTTATCGCATTGGACAACTATGGCTTGATCAAATGCCGTCATTAAACGGACGAGCTCAGTATTTCGCAGCCTTGATCTTGGGCAAGCAATTTTTCTCCCTGATGCACGTGTTGTATGGTATACATGAACTGATCCCATCTGAAAATGGCTGAAGTTAGAACGATCGCCTCTGCAATGAATGAAAGCGATGGGGTTGACCTAGACGAGGTAAGGCAGTAGTGTGTTTTCACTTATTTCCTGTGCTCTTTCTCTGTCATAAGATAACCCCGTGGTTGCTTTACAAATCGCAGATCAAGCCTCAAAACAATGTGGACAATGAGGAATTCCGCAAGGTCTTCGACAGGCCCTTCGCTGCTCCAAAGCCGTCGGAGTCAGCTCCTCAAACCACTCAAGTCAAAACGTCTCACTATGATTACAATTTTGACGAAAAGGATTACAAAAGTGAGTCATTAAAGAAACGTTTTCATTAGTGTTGTGGAAAGATAAAAGGGCATTTATCAAGCTGTTAGTTGCTTTTAGTATGCATTACTAATTAAGTAAGCGTGTTTCAAAAGGTGTATATAAACTCAACTTACTGTACGTGAGTAGTACACTCAAATTATCTCTTGGTTGGTGCTCAAAAATATTGAAAACTGAGTTATGCACGAACGTGCTTTGCAGTATACNCATCGTGTTTGTCTCGTTATTTTACGTCCAAAATGCCGATAGCAGCTGTCAGAAGTGTAGAGGAAGAAGACTTTTTGACGATTTCCTTCTCTTATGAAGGAAAACAACGGAAAATGCAACGAAGCAAGGGTGAGATCTTGTCGAAGGCGTTGACGAGGATAGAGCTTTCTTCAAAGAAGAAAGCGAAAAAGGCGAAGAAGAACGTTGAATGCAACGAAAATGGTGATTCCGAGGAAGGAAATGCAACTCTTTGGTTTAACGGTGAACTAGTCGACTCAAGCCTTACCAACGAGACTGCCTGGAAAGATGGGGCGACGTTGGAAATCGGAGCTGAAACATTCACCGTAGAAGTAAATCCACCGACAATTAAATCTCTGTTACTCCCTGATAATATCATGTCAGGATTTCCTGTGATGCCTCATCTTGAGCTGGAATTTGGTGACAAGCAACACTGTCGCTACAAATGGTACAAATCAACTAATGACAGTGATGAACAAGCAAGTTCTGTCCCGGCCTCTGCCAAAGAAATTTTAAACTGGGAGGAAGTTGGAAGCGAGTTTCTATACACTCCCTCAGTATTAGATGTTGGCTGTTACCTTAAACTGAGTTGTGCACCGGGAAATGCCAAGAGAGTCAGTGATGTGACGTCGGAAATGACAAGCTCGTTGACTGTAGCAGCAGGTCCAGGATTTTGTCCCTTTGATGCGCGTCATATGTACACTAAAAAACAAACTGCTGATTACAGCGCATTCAGGGTTGTGTCCTACAACATTCTCGCCGACAATTATGCCAAGGACGAGTTTGCTCAAAAAGTTCTGTTTCCTTATTGTCCACCATATGCCATGGACATCAGCTATCGTCAACAGCTGTTACTTAAGGAAATTCCTGGCTATAATGCTGACCTAATATGCCTTCAAGAGTGTGGGTTTAAATTATTTGAGAAAAATTTGCAACCAGCTCTTGAGACTATGGGTTTTGAAGGTCTTATGAGATGTAAAGGTGAAGAAGTACCTGAAGGAGAGGCCACCTTTTTCCGAAAGAGCAAGTTTTCATTGATCACCCAGCATGATATCGTTTTAAAAGAAGCTCTCCTTAATGATCCTGCTCAAGCAGGGGTTTTACATCACGTGTCACCAATACCAATTTTACTGGAAACTTTGACAAAAAGGAATACAGTTGTACAATTGTCAATTCTCAAAGTCCTTGGTTTTGAGAAGCGGTATCTCTGTGTAGTTAACACACACCTCTACTACAAACCTACTTATCCTCATATAAGATTGCTTCAGGCCACCATTATTTTGAATCACATTCAAAAAGTTTTATCACAGTTTTGCTCAGGAGACACTGATAAAGGTGTGAATGTTCAAGCTGGTGCAGACCATATATCTCCCCAGATACCTAATGATGGAATGCAAGCTCACCCTCAGGTAGCTATCTTATTCTGCGGTGATTTCAACAGTGGCCCAAGAACTGGCCTGGTTGAACTCCTCACAACAGGCCGTGTTGACTCCACTCATCGTGACTGGACATTATGTGAAGACAAGGAGGAACACTGCACAACTCTGTCCATCAGCCATGATCTGGATCTTTTCTCTGCCTGTGGTTTTCCAGCATTCACAAACTACACTGGAGGTTTCAAAGGGACTCTAGACTACATTTTTGCAGATAAAACGTATCTAGAAGTCGAATCTGTTCTTCCTCTACCTAGTGAAGATGACCTCTCTTCACATCTGGCTTTGCCATCCGTTGTCATGCCGTCAGATCATTTAGCTTTAGTCTGTGATGTTAAGTGGAAATTGTGAATAGAGCCCATCAATGTTTTAATTTACATTGCATACAGATTTTTTATTACCCTGGTCAGAATTGGTCAACTCCAGTGTAAAGTAAGCAGAAAAATTAATAATTTACTCTAGTCTGCTCGCCTGCCAGGACATTTTAAAATAACAGTAAGAGCTGATTACTTACATTTGTACCCTCAGTAATAGTTGTAAGTGCATTAAGATTTTTAACGGGTCAATAAGAACTTTTCTGAAATTATTTGTTATTATTATTGACAATGTAAATTTGGCACCTTATGCATCAGAAAGAAAAGTAAGTAGTGTGTTGAATATAATTTCTGAGATCCAGGCTAAATTCCAACCCTGGTTGTGCTGTAATGGTCCGTCGTTGCATCCAGTGGAAGTGCTACTGCTCATAATTGCTTCATGCTACCAAGACCAAAGTTAACCAATTGCATTGATGACGAGCAAAGATGGCAACAAACCTAACCATTTCACCCTGACTGTCTGAGTCCTAAACACTCATTTATGATTTGGGATACCAGCCTGTAGAGATATAACCACTCTATCAACTATAGCCACTTTATTTACATTCTGCATTGTGATTAGAACTTTGGTGTTGTTGCATTAAAGTAACCCAGCAAAACTGAATATATTTGTAAGGTAATGATATCTGTAGATATGTAGCCAAAATGCCAACAACCCATCTAAACTTAATGAAGTAAAAATTGCCACAGTAGTTGTAAAGATGAATGTCTTCTCAAGATAGAAAACCTGCAACAAATTAGTGATCATTGTCATCTCTCTGTACTTTATTTTCTTAATGTCATGGGAAAGTATGGAATAAAAGGATGACAAACGTTTTTTCAAGCTGTCGTTTTATTGCAGTCTTTTATCCTTTCACTCCGCTTACTGTGTCCACCTTCTACAAGAGGTAATCTTTTTAAAATAGTGTTTGAGAATGTTGTAAATGTACTTCTGTTGCAATTAAAAGATGTGTTTGCATCACTTCACTTTGTCATTTTTTTTCCAGTCTCAAGTTCAAAATGTTAATTCTTCTTACTGATTGCCATACATTTCTTTTAATATTAGTTCTGAGTATTCAGTGGTGGAACAAAGCAGTATCACTAAGCTGATGATTTTCTTTATTCTCATCACCAGTCTGCTTGATATTGTATTGGTATTGTAATAAGAAATTAGATTTTGGTAACTACTGGGATTTAAAGGGTTAATGGAGAAGGTCACTCCAAAAAACACATATATTTTTCCAATGCTAATAAAAACCTTGCACAAAGTTTAGCCACTCACCGAGTTTCAGCCTCTAAAGCACAGGGTTTCCTTATGAAATTCACCTCCAAAGAAGACCAAAATTCGGCAAATCGTCGCCACCATTTTGAACAGTACTCAGCAGCCAGGCCACGTTTTCGTGATGTCATTCAGTCCGAGAAATTTTGTCCAAATGACCTCCAAAGAGCTTTTTAACTACCACTCTGGGTTATAGCTGCTCTTGAGCCATATTATTTTGAGCCAAACATGCTCCAAACTCCGAAATGATAGCATTGAAGATAGTAAAGTGAATAATTGCTTGGAAAAAATAGATTTTGGTGACCTTGTAAAGGATGCCAAGTCATTTGCAGGTTTTTCTCCTTCCTACCAATTTTGAGTTGGATGGAATGACGTCACATAAACACGGCCTGGCTGCCAAGACAATTTCTAAATGGCGGCCTCCGAAGTCTATCTTTCAAGACGAATTTCTTCAGGATAGGGGACACTTCAGAGACTAACTTCGGTGAGTGGAAAAGCTGAATGTTAACTTGCTTTAGGCAAAGACAAAAAAGTAAGCCTTTTGGAGTGACCTCCTTTAAGCTGCTCAATACCTAGGCAAGCAATGCGTGCTGAAAGCTATATTATCTACCCCTTGGTTTTTAATCCCTACCCTGGGAACAAGATGCTTATGACACCTGGTAATGCAAGAAATGCAAAACGCACATCAAAATGAAAACCGAATTAACAATGGTATCAGAGTTATTTATGTTTCTGGTTAAATATCTGTCAACTAAATGAGCCTCCAGTCTGGGAAATTCAAATAAAGATATGAGCTTTCCTCAGTTTTTGTGAAAAGTTGAACAAAGCCAATTATTATAATACATTTATGTAACACTATTCAAAAAATGTCTGCATTCATGGAGACCATTTCTACACTATGGTGAGAAATTTATGTACTGTGGGAACTTGGTTGGCCGTCTAATGATAATAAGTTTCATAGAAATCTCCCGGGTGGAGGACTCCATATAAAAGGGACGGCGCGCTTGTCGTATTTTTTAGAGGTTAAAAAGTGGCCTTGGTACCTCTTAAGGTGTCCAGTCTCAAAAGTCTACAGCAGGAGCCTTTACAGTACCTTTTTAGGTAATGAGCCGGAAAAATATGACAGGAGAGAATGTATTGTTTAGAATTGTTACCCCTTAAGGGTTAAATAATTTCAAGCCACGCCCACGAAACAGGATCTTGGTACCTCTCATTTCCAAATTTCCTATGAGTACCCCCGTGCTTTTTATATGGGAGTCCCCCTCCCCCCTCCTCCTCCCTCTGCCCCTAGCTCCAGGACAAATCCTTTGGCAGCAAGTACATAGTCCTGTTGTCAAATTATGTGTATTTTCTGTTGCTAATCTGCTGTTCCTGTGGTCATATTATATAGGCAAAGATGAAGCTTTTTCAAAGACGTTTCTACAATAAGCTATTCCTTTAATCTATTGAAATGAGCCTTAAAAAAATAAGTATTTAAATAACCTGTGTGATTTTTCGGTAGAGCCCAGCTTGTTGTTGTTTTTACCGGATGAGCACGTGGTTAGAGGCACGTGATCAGAACGTGTGTTATTGATTGGACAAACAATTGGGGGTTGGTCTTGTGAAAGGTAATGCAAGCAAATTTGATAAGGGTTGTTTTCGTTTGTAGCTTCTGTACTTGATAGAGACGTTTTTCTTTTGTGAAAAGCTTTGCTACGGATGCAGTTTGAATCTTTATTTCATTGTAGTCATTTGCTTTGATCTCCACCTTTGCTGATTGTTTATTCATTATTCGCGACTGCGTGTTTATTATTATAATTTTGCACGTTGATCTCTCAAGATTGGCGCGAGATTTATCGCATTGGACAACTATGGCTTGATCAAATGCCGTCATTAAACGGACGAGCTCAGTATTTCGCAGCCTTGATCTTGGGCAAGCAATTTTTCTCCCTGATGCACGTGTTGTATGGTATACATGAACTGATCCCATCTGAAAATGGCTGAAGTTAGAACGATCGCCTCTGCAATGAATGAAAGCGATGGGGTTGACCTAGACGAGGTAAGGCAGTAGTGTGTTTTCACTTATTTCCTGTGCTCTTTCTCTGTCATAAGATAACCCCGTGGTTGCTTTACAAATCGCAGATCAAGCCTCAAAACAATGTGGACAATGAGGAATTCCGCAAGGTCTTCGACAGGCCCTTCGCTGCTCCAAAGCCGTCGGAGTCAGCTCCTCAAACCACTCAAGTCAAAACGTCTCACTATGATTACAATTTTGACGAAAAGGATTACAAAAGTGAGTCATTAAAGAAACGTTTTCATTAGTGTTGTGGAAAGATAAAAGGGCATTTATCAAGCTGTTAGTTGCTTTTAGTATGCATTACTAATTAAGTAAGCGTGTTTCAAAAGGTGTATATAAACTCAACTTACTGTACGTGAGTAGTACACTCAAATTATCTCTTGGTTGGTGCTCAAAAATATTGAAAACTGAGTTATGCACGAACGTGCTTTGCAGTATACGACTACTCGAAGGATGTAGCTTTTCTAACCGTTTTAGTTGTAAATAGTTAACTTAATGGGTATAAAAATAGTTTAGATTGCAATCTATACTGTTCGTGAAATGAGTGGGTTTAATCAGTTTTTTAAACGTGAACATATAAAATGTATTGGACACGGGGCAGCACAACTGTTTGTTAATGTGGCTGGTGTTGCCCTGTTCCTTCAACTGGCTAATAATCAAAGTGCTCCAGGTAGTGCTTGCATATGAGGCTTACTATTAAGATTGCACAGATTTTTGTTAGCCTAATCCCTATCAGCTTTACCCCCAGAGAAAAGTACAAATCTGCAAGATTTGACCTTTGAAACACACCACACTGTTAGCAGAAAAGACTCCAAAACATAGAGAGCGAGATCAAATTTTGTCCCGTCAAATCAAATAAGGGCACTGCACAGGCTTAGAGATGCAGGACGTTGAGGGAGGAAATATGTGCGAGTGGAATATAATAGTTATTTTTCAGAGATTTTATATGTGGACTGGCTTAGGAAGAATTTTACAGCTTTAGAGCTAGTAGAGATGCTGAAACATTCCTTCAAAAGGATTACTTTTCCATCTAAAGACTGCTGAAAAACTTGATCAGACTTGGCCATGTTTGTGTCTCATATCTCCTGTCATCAATCTTTGATGTTTGTTTATTTGAATTTGTCAAGCACATAAAATTGCACTGCTGAGAATCACCATAAACTTGGTCAGTACCAGGTTTTCTGAAATAGGGAGATCCATCAGTAGTTTTACCGGTAAGCAGATTTATGGGTCTCCAAAACACACTGATTATAACCCCAATTTTGCAAGGTTTCAGTTTTGGATGCTAAAATTTCTAGACTTTCATGATTTCAATGCAATCAAACCAAAACTGTATAGTTAACATACAGTTAAAGACATGTTGGTGACATGTGATGGAAAAAACATAAAATTTTGTTAAGGTTGAATATATCCACCAGCTTGGTAGTGTGATGCCAGTAAATAAGGGGTTTTGTAGACTCTTGCACAAGAGCATAATGCTTGAGTCATGGTATGCTCATTGCTCTTCTCCATTACCCCCAAGATAACAGGGACCAGAAGAATAGAATATAGTTTATAATAAATTTATTGGTAATTAATTATTTTAAAAGAGCCTAAAATATGGTCAAACTTTGACAAGATGCAGTTGGTTCATAAGCAGTATGGCTGCAAAAATTAAAATCTGAATTGAGGTAAACATTGAAAGTTTTTCACTTTCAATTCATCTATTTCTGTATTACTAAAATCAGATGAAAGAGACCTCTTAATATAAGTTCTTTCTCAACTTCAACATACAAACAGTGCATTAACAAAACAGTTATCCCACAAATTTCTTGTGGTCTTATTCAACCAGCCCAATATTCAAGGCATAATATGCAAGTATAGAATGTTTTTACTTTAATCAGCCAATTTCATGATATCAAGACTTTCTTTTTTCTTTGCTCGATATCTGCAGGTGTTTGCATAATTTCTAGTTCTACCAATGTATTTAGATCTGTCTTGCTCTAGGTAGATGTCAGTTATAAAAGCAGGATATAAATATTATTCAGCTTAAAAGAACTTTCAAGCTAAACATCTGAAATTTGACTGATCCAATGTGTTTTATTTAGGTCGTCGTGTATCATCCACCAGTTTCCATGAACCTTTAAAAAGGATTCATTCTCGTAGCCGTAATTTGGAAAAACTGGATAAAACTGATGGCAGTGCAAAAGAGCACAAGAGAAGATCACGAGAAGGGATTCGTGTTCTCCCAAAAATCAAGGAAGATCAAGAATCTCATGATCATTTTGAAGGCGGAAAAGAAAACCAAGAAGTCTGGAAATATGTAGATGAAGGGAAACACCGACACCGACACCATAGCCGTCATCACCGTGAACACAAAGTTGATCAGAAGGACCATAAAGTGCATAAAGATCAGAAAGACGAGGGTGAGAAGAAACCTCATCATCACCATCATCATCATCGGCGGCATCATCATCGACACCCACCCCCTGCCCTGCATCACCACAGAACCATCTCAGAGAGGGAGCAGCTGGAATCAAGACTGCGCTCTGGAGCACTGACCTTGAAGGAGATTGAACCTATTCAAGAACGGCTGGCAACAGAAAAAGACGAAGCAAGTGTTTTGGCCAAAAGAGATTTGGAAGAAATGGCATGTAAGTTGTTGCTGAGGAGTGATGTTACTGGTTAAAATCCTATATCTCTTTAATTACAACATTAATGAACATTATTATTATTCAAAGAGGTGTAGGTAAGAGAATAATTTCCTTTGTGTCTCGTCACCAAGATTCTCATTTCTAACCCAAGGTAATGTTTCTGCAATGGCAGGTCATGCTTTAGCAATTAAGTTTTACAGAAGAACGGAAAAAAGCCGAAGGCATGAGACTTTTATACTTACTAATTGCTAGAGAGAATGTTGTAATTTCACACTTGACTATTGCATTTTTGCCACTTAATTACAGGGCATCGTTTTGAGGATCTAAGAGGTCTTAGGAGGCGGCGTCCACATCTTCCACGGCATAAATCAGGAATGAAAACACACTATAGTAGCACAGACATTAGCAGAAGCTTGCAGAGGTTCCCTGTGAAGTACGACCATAGTCCCCATGAGGTAACATGCTTTGTAAAGTAATGTAGAGCAGTTTTCACTTAAGTATGGAAAAGTAATTGGCTTTGCATTGGTATGCTATCGTGGCTTAAAAACTGCATGCCACATTTTCATCTTACCAGAAGTAAAACCAGAATCAATCATGACTCACTCACACGCTTTTTCCCCATGCTTTGCATCAGTTATGTGTATTTACTGCAAGTTTTGATTGGTCCAGTTGATTCTCTATGTGTATTATGATTACCCTGAGTGATTACTTTGGTTTTGGTTTTATAGCACTCAATCGAAAACTGCTTTCTCAGAAACAAGAAACAGTGCCTTATCATATATTTCCAAACAACAGATGAGAGTTGAAAATATGATACTGTGTTTCAAGTGCTTATTGTTATGCATGCATCTGATCAAGTGACACTAAATACTAAGAGAAAGGAGAGATTGTGGAAAAAAACTGGTAAACATGTGCACTAATTCAATTAAAATGATTCCATCAAAAAAAGGAAAGTCAGAGTGTTTAAAATTTTCTTAAACTTGGTGCACTTGGCATTGCCCAGTAAGGATGTGTAATGTGATTCAATTGATTCACCTTAATGTGGAAAAAAGTTCAGTTTTCTTTTGTTTTTCTTTATTTTTCTACCTACGATGTAGGCATTTGTTGAGTTGGAGCAATTAACAAAGCATGGGGAGGAAATGGAATGGCAAGAGACAGCACGGTGGATTAAGTTTGAAGAAAATGTGGAAGATTCTAACCGCTGGGGAAAGCCTCACGTGGCTTCACTTACATTCCACAGCCTTTTAGAACTACGAAAAGGTTTAGAAAAAGGTACACAGAGAAAATGAGAGAAACACAGTTGAGCCTCTGCTAACAGACACCTCCTATAGGCAGACACCTCCTTTAAGTGGACACTGGCACTGCATTTTTGACCTCCCATAAGTGGACACTTCTCTTAGCGAACACTTTGTCTGGTCCAAAGGGTGTGGGTTTATGGGAGGTTTGACTTTATTTAGTGGACGAGTAGTTATAAAATAGTTACATGTACTCCACTGACCATAGAATGAGATTCCTTGTAAAATTTGACAGTTCCCAGACCAGGAAAAAAAATTGAAATCCAGTTGCTTAATGGGCCAGTACATTTCAGTTTTCAGTTGCCCCCACTAAAATATTACTTGTCCAATAGGTGCGCAATGAATCTGCCACATGCTTTATTATTAGTGCCAGACTTCTATTGTATACAACATCCAATATAATGGCCAATATGGCAATTGGAGGACAAACACAAACAAACTATGCTTGGATTTTAAATTAATCAATGCTTTCAACTTATTGTTTTGCTCATCTTGCAGTCTCAAGTTTTGAAATTGTTTGATTGTTTTTTTTTTATTTGAAATTATCACTAACAAGACTACTGAGGCTAATTTCACTTGCCCACCGAACCACCAAACTTCTATTTTCACTCGCCCAAGAGCAAAATTTACTTGCCCTGGGCAATCGGACCTGGGTTTTTTTCCTGCCCTAGTTCTTGAAATCTCAGTAGCTTGTTACCATTTTTGAACGGAGAGACTGGAAGCAGCTTGGTGCAATTATCAAGAATGTTAGGAAGGTTGAATTTGCCTTGAAACAAGCTCAGAAGACTCTCAGTCACTGTTTTGTGTGTTTTCTAAATGTTGACAAAAGCAATCACCAAGGCTTAACCACTTTTGCAGTGTACAACTTAATGTACAATTTCTGCTCCAGGAGTGATTACGTGTAGCTTCAAATTTTTCAATACTAATAGGCCTGTTGATCACAACATTTGTTCAGGAGATCACCAAAGAAAACTTGCCATAATTTTCCTTTAAAAAAAATTCTCCCAACTGGTACTTTAAGAAATGTGTGGAGCCAAGAGGGAGAAATGACATTTTGACTGTGTTTGTTTTTTTACAGGCACTGTGTTGTTGGACTTGGAAAAATTTGATTTACCAAGCATTGCTGAAGCAGTGGTTGAAAACTTGATGATCTCAGACCAGCTGAGTCAGACGGACAGTAACAAAGTGCTGGCAGCATTGCTTTTACGACATAGACATCAGCATCAGATGGCGCCAATTGCACGGCGTCCATCTTCATACAATCTTCTGGCTATGGCACGGAAAGAGTCCAAAACCCCAACTGCAGATGACACTGAACACAAAATTGTTGATACTGGAGAGGGTGATAAAATGGAAGATGGGGTAATACGATTGAGGATTGATGATTCAACTGATGGCGATGACACGGCTGTTCAAGAAACAAGCCAAGTGAGTTTGGTTGTAGTAATACCAGATGATAATTTTTTTTCTCAGTGAGATCTACAAGGCAGGGTTCAACAAAGTGCATTACTTACATAATATTTCGAATGATTTTAATTTCAGAACAAAAAAAAAGAGAATTTAAGCATCCAAAATTTGAAGCATCCAAAATACTTACAGTACAGTATAAAACTTAGAAGTACCTCCAAAGCTCTTAGTTTCCTTTATGCTGGACTTTATGGAGTGAACTCTAGGTGAGACACTGCTTGACATAAGTAACGGCTTGATAGAATTTGTGAAATTTTGTTGTCGGTGTATTTTTAAAACCTTGAGGCTGCAGTAAAACTATCATTTTCACAGACATTGCTTCAGTCTAATTTGTGTTTTGTAGGCGTTAATTCACTTTAGCTATGTTTCAGCAAAATGTCTGAAGTTGTTCTCCAAAATTGTCTGAAATGAGATGAAAATGTCCAAAAATTTAATGTCCGCAATTTTTTGCAAGTAATGTTAATAATACAATCTAAATCTGCCCTTTTTTTAATACTTTTTTTTGCAGTTGCCATTGACTACTGATGACAAACATGAGCTAAAGCATGAAGTTTCATTTGCACCAGAGCCTCCTTCAGTGGAGGGAGGTGGAGGAAAACAAGAATCCGATGTGAAATCTAAAATTCCCGAGGGAGCAGAAGCTACAACTGTCCTAGTAGGAACACTAGATGAGCTGCAACAACCAGTACTGGCATTTGTCCGTCTTGCCAAGGGCTGTCCCTTGAACATCACTGAGGTATCCATACCTGTCCGGTTCTTGTTTGTCTTGTTGGGCCCAAGCTCCGAGGAAGAGTCGTACTATGAAATTGGTCGTTCTGTGGCTACCTTGATGTCTGACCAGGTAAATTGTGTTGAAATTTATACACACTGTTTTTAAAACTGATCTTGGATTCCAAACCATTGATTTGCACAAATCTTTGGACAATCCACATTACTATTACCCTAATCTGTAGTTTTTCCACTGAACATACATATATCCTGATTCACTTCCCAATCTACTGACCCAACAAATCAGGTATTTTGTAAGTCAATCATTAATAACCTTGGGAGCAATTAGTCAATGCAACGCAACCAAGCTAATTAATTTATTGTTTCCTTGTTTCTTCATGAACCCAAAAGAGTTCAATATAACAGGAAGCTGGGTTTTTAGTCCTGAACCATAACAGCCATATGCATGGGAGTGTACATCAGTGAATAGTCAACTGAAGCACAGCCAATCGGATTCACAGATCTTAAATACACCATGGTTATCATGTACTTATCGTTAATGATATTGTGTTCTAGGCATTTCATGACGTTGCATATCAAGCTGACTCTCGTGAGGACCTCCTATCAGCCATTAATGGCTTCCTTGATGACACAGTTGTCTTGCCACCTGGGGAATGGGATCGTAATGTATTGGCACCCATCCTGATTGCTCAAAGTAAGGCCATGGCCAGGAGAAGGAAAATGGCCAAAGCTGGTAAGAACTCTAAATTGCAAGTACTATTTACCTAGAATTATGTTTTCTTAAAAGTTTGGGACTGTGTTACTGTTTCTAATAATAACCTGGGCTAGGGAGCAGCAGAGTGGACTCCCATGTTAAAGCAATGCAGTTGATCGCTGACCTTTTATGCGTAAAATTTGTTACTTTGTATTGCTTGAGATGTTAAATCTAAAATTACCTCTGTGAGATTTTCGCATTAGCTTTTAGAGTATAATATATAATACTGTAGTTTGTACAGCTAACAGTTTGCAGTTTATTTATTTCCATTAAAAATCGCAAATTGCAATTTACACTACCTGCATATAGCGTAGGCTAATTGAGGCAGGCATATAACTGCAGCTACTTGTCAGACATTTTTGTTATCTCTTAGAATTGAGCCACAACAGGACAAGATTTTTGGACTTGCTTTCAAAACCACTCCTTCTTTTATATGGGAAACCAGGGGTTGAAGAAAGCTTGAAATCCATCTTGCCCTTTGGACAAGTAGCTCTCAAATTTTTCTTGCCCTGGGAAAGTCTTAATTTACTTTTTTTATGTAGTTGACGAACATTTTGCCTGATCCCTTGCCCATTGGGCAAGTTAGAATGAAAACTTACTTGTCCAGCAGGAAAATCTGCTCGTCCTGGATGACCAGATGGCACTTTTTTTGAGCCATGGATATTCCCTCGACCCCCCTCCTTGGAAGTGGTTACTTACTAGAGAAACAATATTCTTATTTTAACACTAGGAACATTTCTTTTGTCAGCTCTCGCGGCTGCTGCAGAAGAACTAGAAGAAGATCCTCTGGACAGAACAGGTTCATTCTGTGGTGGCCTGGTGTTGGACATCAAACGACGTGCAAAATTTTATCTCAGTGACTTTAAAGACGGCTTCAATGTGCAGTGTCTCTTGACATCAATCTTTCTTTACTTTTCTGTCTTTGCACCAAATATTGCCTTTGGTAGTATTCTTGATAAGAAGACCGATGGCTGGCTTGGAGTGTCTGAAGTTATTTTTGCAACTTGTCTCTGTGGAATATTGTTTGGACTTCTTGCTGGACAGCCACTAATCATAATCGGAGTAACTGGCCCTGTGTTGGTTTTTGAGCAGACTATCTACAAGGTAACTTAACTGTTGCGTTGACAATAAACTTCAACTTCATGTTGATCATGAAAAATGCTAGTTTCAACATGTAATAAATTGCATTTTCACAGGTCAGGATCAAATTTATATTGATGTGAAAACAAGTTTTTTTCACTGTTTGACCACCCAACTCAAGTCACCACAAGTTGGTCTTGAATGTTGATTTTGGTATGGCTACAATACTCCGTAGGAAAAAGGGCGGTGGCTGCACATTTTACCACTGACAATACCATGTAAACCTTACACAGCCCATAAAGTGCAAAGAAAGCCCTATTTTTGAAGTATTTGTCCCTGTGTTAACAACACTGCGTATGCTAGCTTTGAGGATGTTAGAACTTTTCTGTAGATTTCTATGAGCATTAAAAGAGTTTGTGTGCTAAGAGTTATGGGTAAATGTACCACTTGTCATCTTTTTTCCTGCAGTGGATTGCTTTGATATCCAAACCACTGTTCAACAAACTTGTTGAAATTTTGAGTTTGAGGTTTTCATTAAGGTTTTCACCAGGGAGGTAATTGGTTTTTCAGGCGAAACCTGTTTGAACTGAACTTCTTTAGTAAAAAAATTTTTTTTCAGATGGCTAAACCAGGAAGACAAAATCACCTTCACAGCCAGTCATTTTGTCCAGTGCCCCGCCATTAATGAAACCCCCGGTTTGAGTTGTACGATAATTTGTGCCCAGTTGAAAAATTCTGATTATTTGTTTGTTATTGCATTTCAGTTCTGCAGTGTATATCATGTGGAATTTCTGCCATGGCGCTGTTGGATTGGTTTCTGGGTCATGCTGATACTGTTTGGAGTGGTAGCTATGGAGGGTTGTTTTCTGGTTCGCTACTTCACACGCTTCACTGAAGAAATATTTGCTTGTCTCATTTCTGCCATCTTCATCTATGAAGCAATCCACTTTTTACAAGTGGTGAGATCATAACAAGATTGTAAATTAACACAACTTCACACAACCTCTTGCCCCTGTAGGTTTGAACAGCACCAATAGCAGAGGTGGCGAATGGTGCTAGTTCTGTGTTTTTATCAAGTTATAGAAACACGATTTTAAACTAATCAGCGTGCATATTTTGGCACTATTCTTTAAAATCATATGAACTAGAGAAGAGTGTAGAGATGTTTTTACTACCTTGCAGGTTTTTGAAGAGAATCCTTTAAAGAAAACATACTCAGCATCAGAGGATTCTTCTGAAGTTGGAGTGAAGGGACAACCAAACACTGCTCTTCTTTCCACGATCATGGTTCTGGGAACTTTCCTTGTGGCATTTTACTTGAGGAAATTTAGGACAAGTTACTTTTTTGGGAAGAAGGTTTGTAGTTTACGCATATGACTTGTGTCAATCATCTGGTTAGCTACAAATGGAATTGCACTAGAAGTACATATAGGCAAAAGGAGAAGGTAAGAGGCATGGTGGCTGAGTGGTTAGGGTGCCAAACTTGAAATGCAGAGGTTGCAGGTTCCATTCTGACCACTAGTTGGTGTTGTTCTTGGAAGTCCCGAGTTCAGCTAATTGGCCATGGTTGTAAATAGCCGAATGGTCTGCCTCTGACCATTTGGGATTGTAACCAATCTATCTTGATTTACAATATTTGTTTCACTGTTTGTTTCAATTAGCCCCAGAAAGCCCCAGTGGGAGACTGCACAATTAAGATTTATTTATTTATTTCATTTTTATTTAGTTACAAACAAAGATTGGTCCAAAGTCATACAGAGCACTGCACAGTCAGTATTTATCCAGCTGTAAAAATGTGATTTTGAGACAATTTCATGTACTTTATTCTGCAAAATTGAACAATATAAGGTTTATAGTTAATAGAAAACATATTTTTCAATCTTGCAGAATATCATTTGATTTTAGTGCACTTGACCTAATATATTGTCTGTCAAATATCAGGCAATATTCTACATGATATCACGGTATGCACATTATCACTTACAAGGGTTGTCATCTTCGCACTTCAATTAAATAAAAATGTCATTTTGTAGAATGACAAGACAGTGAGCTAAGACTAGATTTACTGCCTGCACGGGCTATCATAGTTATTTATTGATGAACTTTTTTTCTCAAGGCCAGGAGGCTGGTGAGCGACTTTGGCATTGTCATAGCTATGGCGTTAATGCTGTTGCTTGATGTTTTCCTGCACGACAAAGTTAGCACTCCAAAGATTGCCATTGGGGATCCAACAAAAAGAGGGTTTTTACCAACCAGGTTCACCGAGAGAGGTTGGTTTATTAACCCTGGAGGTATGATGAAAGCCATGGAAACTGGATGGATTTTTGCAGCTATCATCCCTGCTCTGTTTGTTGGAATTTTGTTATTTATGGAAACAGAACTGACTGGGGTGCTTTTGAACAAGAAAGAGAACAAACTAAGCAAAGGACCAGGGTTTAACTTAGACTTGTGCGTCATGGGACTATTGTCATTCATTTGTTCATTGATGGGATTGCCATGGATGTGTGCAGCAACTGTTCGTTCAGTGTCGCACTTAAATGCGCTCTCCATCTGGAGCACTTCACATGCACCAGGGGTCAAACCACATCTCATTGAAGTCAAGGAGCAGAGAGTCACAAATATTGCCATACATGCACTCACAGGTCAGTTAACGTTGTGTAACTTGTACTGATTGACAACTCATTTCCCATTACAATTCAGTGGAACCCCACACCTTGTTAATAGGGTCATCTCTTTATTCTATACATTTTCTCACAAGAAAACCCCTGCTTGTGCGGCCACTCATTAATATGGCCAACAGCCACATTCTCAAATCCCAACCTGTAAAATGCTTTATAATTTTACCACGTTTATACAGCCACTCACTCAGTTCATCTCTCCATTGGTAGTATTTCATACACTGAATCAAGATTTATTTTTTTTAAATTATATCTGCAATCCGGATGATTAGTAAGGAGTAGTTGTTTAGAAGTACAATTGTGAGATATCTGTTAAGATGTGTCACTCAATTTAGACCAATCATGAGGTTTAACCCTACCTTGTCAATACAGCCACCCCATTAATACAGCCAAATTTTCATGGCCTGTTGGTGACCATGTTAACAGGGTTCCACTGTGTAGTCAGCTGTGAAACACGGACAATAAGAAAAAAATACTGGATAGTTTCTTGACCTTGGAATGTTTGTTCTGTTGCAGGCTTGTCCATTCTCCTCGCACCAGCTCTTCACCTCATTCCTGTTCCAGTCATGTTCGGTGTTCTATTATATCTTGGTGTTTGTTCGTTAGCTGGAATTCAACTAATCGACAGGCTTATAATGATGTTTATGCCGCCAAAGTACCACCCAGATGTACAGTACGTAAGAAAGGTAAGCTATCTATTAAGCAGGTTTATTAACAAGCCCAGCCAGCCAGTGCACCTTCAAAATTACCCCCCAGTCTTTGTATTGTAGTTAAATTTCAGGACGTTTCAGCTACTGATAAGCTCTCGTTCTGCTGACATAGTGGGTTAAGGCCCATTTGAACTACACAGAAGTTTTGGTATGCTCATGAAACAAGTGCCCATAATGTCAATTTTCATCTGTGTGTGGACTAGCTATCTACATGCAGGGATGTCACTTAGAGCCAGCTGCTGGCTAATGTCACCAGCTGAAAGAGAACTTTAATCCTGCTGAACGTCACAATAAAACAAAAAATTGTTAAAAAAATGTTAAATATTGAATGTTTGTAGTGGTCAATGCACTTAGCTACAACTAGCTAGTTCTCAGGTCTTCCACTTAAACTGGAAGAAACAGATATTGCAAATAAACTTTACAGGCTTAAAAATCCCAACTGGTGGGAGGCAGACCAGTTGGCTGTTTACAATCATCACCAAGGAGTTGAACTAGGGTCTACTGAGAAACAACTCCAGCTTAGTGGTTAGAAGGGGATTTGAACTTGCGACCTCCGGATTTCAAGTCCGGCGCCCTAACCACTCGGCCATGCTGCCTCCTCGGGGTAACTTTAAAGGTGCAAAGGCGAGAAAAGCCAGGTGGGCTTGTTAATGAGCAGCTACTTGTATAAGTGTTTCCTCAGCTACATTCCTGTACATGGTCTGAGTATGACTGAAAGTTGACCTAATTTTGTCCATTCCATGCCAAAAATGCTGTGTAATGCAAATCAGACATACTCAATCACAGCTACAATGAGCAACAAAAGTGTTGAGACACTTTGCAGTGAAATGTAACATTTTCCCCTTTTCCCCCCAAACAATGTTGACTTTTCTATTTCTAAGACTGCATGGACCACAGCACCTACACAACATTGAATTGGGGTGCTGGGCGTATCAGAAAACTAATGCTAGATGCAAATGAAATAGAATAAGAGGTGAAATACTGAAAAAAAAATCAACTACTTTTGTCGGCCATTGTGGAAACAGTACAATGTTAAGCTAGTGATCATTCACATTAATAGTAATATTACTAAACACAATTTGTGACAATTTCAGGTTAGTACAAAACAGATTCACATTTACACGGCCATCCAGTTGATCTGCTTTGCTCTTCTCATTGTGGTCAAGTTAACTGTGATTGCACCGTCATTTCCATTCTTCATCATTTGCTTGATTCCTCTGCGGAAGTCATTGATAAAGTTCTTTGAAGAGAATGAACTTGAAGAGGTATGTGCACATGTATTTTTGTCTCCAAGCTTTCTAATCATTTTACTCTATAGCTCAATTTAATTTTTCTTACATTTACATTTTCTTGCACATTCTAACCATTTCTTTAACCCCCTATGAAATTCCTGTGGAATCATAGGTCTGCAATGTGTGCAAAAAGACTTATGCAGGATTGTATTACTATGATACTTCACTTGATCTGTTCATCATACACACCTGGTCACCCCTGTTGTCACACTCCACTTTCACTGAAGCATATGGTGTGATGCTTTTAGAAGTAATATATCAAACACAAGAGACTGTGTTTGACCACATTTTCAAACACCAAGAAGAGAGCCGAAATTATGACATGGAGCGGAGTATTTTTGATGGACTTCAAGGTGCTTGAAAATGTGCTCAAACACTCTCTTGAGTGTTTATCGTTTCAAACAAACTAAAACTAAGAAGAAAATGGCGAAATAAAACCGTAAAAATCTATGTTGATTATCCAAACACCATCATAGTCACAATTTCCTTTGTTTAAACTTGAATTATTAATGAGTTTGAGAAGTATTGTGTTTGTCACTTCTAAAACCAAATATGCACATTATTTTGTTATTGACAGCTTGACAATGAACAACTACCTGATGACGACAGTGACTTGGATGAGTATGACAGTGTGTTCTTACCAATTTAAAGAAGAAAGAACAACATGCTAAATCGAGATCTTGTACATTTGATTGTTTGGGTTCAATTTTCTGTCACCAATTTTGGCATTGCATTGAATCATTCAGATCATCATTTTAGGTCAGTGAAATCTTAACTGTGTAAGACCTCCTGTGTAGAGTTCTGTTACACGGGACATTTGTTTGTGTGTTACTTGTCATCGCAATTTTGTTGCAGCACTCCCTTTAAGGGAAATTTTTGGAGCAACAAACCTCCTAAAACAGCTTGCCTCGTAATGTTTCCCGGGGGGGATCTAGGATTTTTCAAGTCAGGGTGGCTGGTATTGTGGGGTTGCACAATCAGTTGGGCACCCCAAAATGTTTTAATTTGAGAATTTGAATTTTACATCAAAAAACCTACCAATGCCTTCTTTTCTGCTATAATATTCACAATTTATTTCAATTCTTTCTATTTTTTGCTTCTCCAAAATGGGGGTGCTAGGCACCCAATNCCCCCCCCGTAAAGCTGCCTCTGTTTGCAGTGCAAAAAGCATTACATTAGGCAGGATGAAGTTTTATACTTCCATAAGGGAACGTCTTGTATGGATGTTAAAGAATTAGCAGTTTATTTGAAGATAAAGCTGGCAAACAGGAAGCAAAGTTTCTTTTTCACCTTTGTAACAGAATTCATTAGGTAGGCTAAAGAGAATCACGGACCCGATTAAAAAAGCCTTGATTCAGATCGAAATTCTCCCAACATAAATTATAGGAAAGTAATATATCAAATAAGAAAGACTGTGTTTGACCACATTTCCAAACACTGAGAAGAGAGTTGAAAATACGATGTGCAGTGAAGTATTTTTGACTAACTTCAGGGTGTTTGGAAATGTGGTTAAACACTGTTGCGAGTGTCTGATACATCTCATTCAAATCTAAAACTAGGGAGAAACCAGAGAAATAAAATCGTAAAAATCTATTCTATGTCCAAACACCGTCACGGTCATGATTTTTCTTTGTTTTAACTTAACGAATTATTAATGAGTTAGAGAATATATGAGATTTTTGTTCCACCTTTTTCAAATAATTTCTTTTTTGTTTGTTTGTTTTTTAATCTTTTTTGTTTTTTGTTTTTTTCATATTTTGAGAACAGCCTTGAGTAAATAAAAATAAGCAAAGATTTAACAAAATATTTTGCGGAGGAATCTATAAATCAGAGGGTATATTTTGAGTATATCTGCCATCAAAGGTTATTGAGTCTTATAGTAATATTTTAGTAATGAGTGGAATTTAGCTTTGGGACGTCACGCCACGTTTCAGACATTTTGTGACATGCCAAGATATTCTACGAACTTAATGTATGTGCCTGTTTGGCATAGCATCTTTTTTGTTTAAAGGGACACAGTCAGCTGGAGCACATGCGCATTAGATGCCATTTCATAGCTTATTTGCATATCACAGAGACGCGATCCATACTGTTTTTAACCAAATATGATAAAAATAGTGTCATAGAATGAGCAAAAGCGCACTCAAAAACAGGCTATTCAGTAAACGATTGAAAATCAAGCAAAACACTGAAGATTTAAGCGGATTTCTAGATGTACTTTGATTTCAGGTTGAGGTGAACTTTTTTCAAAATGAGAAAACTAGTGTCCAGGTGAGCGCGGTCCCAAAGCTGACTGTCCCTTTAAATAAATATACAAGTTATGTAAATCGTTTCAACTTGGATAAAAGGGCAAGGTAGTTTCGTGATGGGATAAGGCAAAAATTGCACTAACAACTTTCACTTCTCTTGCGAGAGATGTTACGAGACACTTCAACTTGTCGCCTAATTAATTAATTTTTTAGCCACTCGCAAGCTGAACTGTAGGTCTTTGAAAAGAATCGTTATCAAGAAATTTGTTAAAGGGATATAAATTTTAGGGTTTTACAAGCATCGTATCAGATTGTACACCTTTCTGTAAAATCTTCAAAGATTACCGATGGTTGCGTGACTTTGCGTGATGCAAAGGAAGTCACACAACCGGCGCGAGGGCCATGACTTTTCTTAGAGTGAAATTGGCTTTCATTTTTTTGTACCAATAAATAACGTCAATGACTATAATATGTAAATAAATGTTAAATAGTTGTGATATAGAATATTTGTTTAATGTAAAAACAAAGATGAATTTAAAAATACGTTTACAAGAGCCTACTAGTTTCAGTGTGCAGTGTAGCAATGGGTAGTACTTTATTTAAGACCCCAATATAATGTCTCAAACTTAAAGTTGGTTGTTGTCATAGTAACGAGTTCTCTGGTTACAATAGCACAGGCTCCACGAACGACCACCTCTCTTACAAGACTGCATGTAAAACCCCTGAAATTGCCTCGCGCACTTTCTACTTTGACCGAGTAAATGGTCGCCAACCGGCGCTGCGAGGTGCTGCCTGAAGCGAGGCTGGCAAAGCAGAATCGTAAGGTGCTGCTGGGCTCGGTTGCCAGTAGACTGCTGGCAGTCTGTTTTCTCTCGATAGGCGAGATATTTCGGACTAGAAAAGATTGGGACGAGACATGATGGGTGCGGCACTCGCCCCAACCCCTTTTCGTCCATTCTCTATTTGCCAATTCCCCATTATTCACTCCGTTTGCCCCCCAAATTTTACATAAACTGTTGTTGTGAAATGCTCTTGGGAATATGCAAGCCTTCCAAGAGCATTTCACAACGATAGTTTATGCAAAATTTGGGGGGCAAACAGAGTGAATTATGGGGAATTGGAGAATATGAGAAGACCGCCCTTCTGCATCCGTGTTCACGGACAAACACTCACGTTCGCCATTTCTACATCCCCCGTAATACACCTTGTTTCCCCCCTAAAAATTCTGCATAACCTTTGTTTCCCTTTTCTCCTGGGTATAACAGTCGTCCCGAAAGAAACTGGAGACAATGCTTCTGCAAAATTTTGGGGGCAAACAAGGTATATTATGGGCGAGGTGGAAATGGCCAATGAACCGACTGCTAGCAGGTTGGGTTACTAGCCGCTGTTCGGGAGACGAGCCCGCGCTCCTTCTTGGGCAGGATCGTTAGACCGGACTTGAACGTAGAGCGGCGGAAATCAAGCCTAAATTGTTGCATGAAACGGAAAGTTTGGGTTTTCTGGGACCCTTTTTTACGACCACAATGCATTGCTATGATCTCTTGCACGAGCCAAGAGGAACCTGAGGAAGAGTCCAGCAAAGTTCTATCCAACCTCGTTTCCAGGCGGTCTCTCCTTTGCCTGGAGACGAGGTTGTGTTCTATCTGAGCCTGTTCACCAGATGTCGACAAAGTAGAAAGGATCACACTTTATCATAAGGTTTTTTCATCGAACACTAGAACATCCTCACTTTTTATATCGAACAGCGGTAGTAGTGTTCCTTTAACTCAACCGGCCTCAATTGTAAGAAGCATTTATTAAATTCTGTAAGCTTGTTGGATCAAATATTAGAAATTAGCTCAAAAATATTAGAAATTATCTGAATGTAATTTCAGATCTTTCGCCCAACTAACGAACTTGAAACTCGTCCGAAACCTGATTTGGATAGTATTCCGAAAGATCCAGTTTCCCGCATGAATTGCATGATTTTTCAGTCTGACTGAATTGTTCTCTAAAAATCGAATATTCGATTACAAAGCCCAATTTAGATCATCCTAATGGACTTCTATCATGTCATCCAGAAATTAAGTTATTGTGGTAAAACCGCAACTGCCCAATAATTAATAAGTCTAAGCGATTGAGCTTCAAGAGAGCTTGTCCTTGGTTGTAGAAATGAAGAGCTTGATTACGGTTCCATGGTCAGTTGAGCGGAAAGCGGGTACAGATTTGACCTTGTTATTGTAAAAGAACTAAAACAGGAATTACCTGCGTAATTGAATGACGTGCTTCATTGAAGTTATTGTTTCTCGATCGCTTCCTTTGTGTAATTTAAGAGAAGTTCAAGATATTTCTCTCTTGTGTACGGAAGGATCTATTTCATGGACTAAAATCAGCGACACTCGGCCAGGAATCTTAACCCAAACTTCCCAAGTCGATTAGTCCATCACGGGTTAGCCCCCAACCAGAATTCGATTAACTTCCATTCACGCTTAAAGAACGAGAAATAGAGAGTGTTTTCGACTTCTGGTTGGGCTCTAAACGGTTACGAGGGACTGACTTGAAGGCTAAACGACCGGATACCAAACTTGAATATCGCTAGTTCTTCTGCTTTTATCGTTAGAGCAGTCCAAAACGAGATTTTTATTTTCTTCGAAAACAGCAGAGATATATTTTACTTCCATGTCAAGAAAGTTCTAAGTGCCATTTCACTAAAAGAAAACTACGCTCATTAATGCAGTTTCTTTCAAATACGTGAAGCCATCACTGGCAGGCCATCGTTCGGAACGAGTAGACGAGGTAACAACACCAGGCATATTTGATCAAATTTAATGAGAAATTTAACTGAATTCTCAGGTCTGTAATCCATACAATCCCACTCTTAGAGTAGAACTCCTACATCTCGAACTCGATCGATTGCATCATCTCAATCTTCTCGCTACATCAGGCTTTCCCAACTAAAGTTTCCTGTTAATGGACCGTACAATTAATGTGTAGTCTTAACTGACTTGTTTTCCTTGTTTCGATAAAGTTCTTTTTACTGAAAGCATTTTCACAAACGTATCTTCAACGGCCCCCGAGTGATTTCTTCGCCCCCCAGCAGCTTTGAGCCTCTCCCTAAACAAAAGATGCACGTGCGTTGTAAATCTTTATACATTTTCCAGCTTTTTTTTCTCCAAAACAACAAGAACATAAGTAGCCAAATTCTTCGTTTTACGAAGAACGTGAACCACGACGGTGATTTACCAATATTACTATATGCATCTGAATTCTGCATTTACAAATATCGAGCTAAGGATAGTCCTAACTCCCACAGACACATTGAATAGATCTAAAGATACGTTTTTCATGGATGTTGCGCACGCGCAGTTGGGAGATGGCACCAGCTGCCAGTTGTGGAAGACAACATTTGACCCAGTTTCGTTCCGACTTGATTTATATGAAGAGTTAAAATGACACCATTGGCAGGAATTATTACGTAATCTTTATAAGACTTCGCTTTGACTTACTAATCTTAAGCACAATCGACAGAATTTTCGCCTCAATATTTATCGGCAGTTTCCAGCTCTGGTTGCCTTTTTGTGTTTTAAAAAACACAAAAACCACTGTCAATATCGTTTATGACGAGCATGCACGCTGCACGTGAGCCCATGTTGTCTTCTCTGACGGCAAAACGGCTGAAATGATATTTTTACGAGAGAGTCACTCTTTTTGAGCACAATTAATAGCTCACTTGAAAGTTTGGAGCACAGCCACTCGTAGCGATATTAAATAGTGACGCAAGAACCACACGCAAGGTCGCTCATAAAAAAAAGTCGCGGATGAATATTGGCTGTTAGAGGTGAAATGAATCGGTCGGGCATGACAGCAGCAACAATAAATCGTGTTTAAAACTTATTAGGAACATC